GGGGGACTTGGCCCTTAAAAACCGTGAGGAACCTTCTCTGGTGCCTCTTTTTGGCTTGCTCGTTGTGTGGTGTTTCCTTGACTCTGTTGTGGGGTGTCCTGCAGGCATTTCTAGCCATTTCGTTGTGTTAGAGGAAAGGAAGAGGTGGGGGGCTGTCCGTGCGAGGCTCTTCCTCTCTCCCCAGAAGGAAGACACAAACTTTTGTGGACCTCAAAGAATTAAAAACTATAAGAAGATGCTTCCAAGCAGAGATGTTAAAATTCACCTGCCTTCTGGATCTCTAAGGGTCTCCTAATAAATGAAAGAAGCCCTCCCCTTCCTGCCCTGACCCCTCCAGGGGTCCTTTAAACACCTTGACTGAGATGTGGGTGGACAGCATTTCACTATTTGGCCGCTCACACCCTGACCACACTCACCTGCATTTCTTCTAACCCTTGGCTACTCTCTGCTCTGCTGCAGCTACCGCACTCTGGGCTCATGGCTCAGTAGGGGTGTGGGGCAGAAAGGAGAGGAAGGGACTTCCCTTGCGTCCCCAAAGCTTGGGCCAGTGGGACAAGTCAGAAAGGGCGAGGCTCCCGAATGAGTTATAGAAGAGTGTATGGTGGCTGCTGGTGGGGGAGACTGGGTATAGGACAGAGAGGCTGGAGGGAGCCATGAGTTCCGAGGCTCTGTGGTCTGTGTCCTTTCTTGGGCCAAGTCCTAGGGTGAGGGGGTGGGGATGACCAAACCTATTAGGTTTGTGGGGTGGAAGGGCTGAGGGAGAGAGGGGCCAGACCCTGGAGAAGCCATGTGCCTTGGGAGACAGCTAGAGATTCAGGAGAGGAAGGGGATTGGGAGGGCACCAAGGGCTAACTAGAGGCCTGCATGGGTTGATGGCAAGGACTGGAGGGAAGGATGCAGGGGGAGGGGCAATGGAGAGCCTCTGCCCTTGTCTCATGGGCTCCCCACGGAACTCAGATAAGACCCAGGGAAAGGAGGACTCCATGGGCTGTGATAACATGTCAACCAATTCTGTATGATGGGGACTCAACAGAAAAAAATAAGTCGATAAAGACAAAAGTTCCATCTCTTGTCTTTTTGAATTTGAGGTTCAAGGTATGTTACCAGATAAAATGCTTCCACACATCAGGCTCAGCACTAGCTGCGTTAGAAGAA